CTCCCGCGTGCATCGCCAGGCCGGTGCAGTGGGGCCCTGACTTGGAGGTCAAACATGGGGTGCCCGGCACACGTGGTGCCCGCGGCCCAGAGTTAGCGCCCATGCTGCCCGCGCGCGCTGAAGGTCTCAAGATTGCAGGGCGCAAGGGGCACGTCGGCCGACTCGTTGGCCACATCGAGAGCGTTTGCGACAATATGAGGGGATTACAGCGACATCACCAACATCGGAGTCCACCATCACCGCAGTGCCGACGGCGCAGTGACTCTCTACCAGGACGAGTACATGCACGCGCTGACACCCATCAGGCACATCGACCTGGCCAGGTCGATGGTCGACGAGCCGGCCGGAGCTTCACTCCCAGACCTCTTTGCTTGCCTCCTCGGAGCAGCCGCCTACGCGTTGCTCGCGCGCCACCGCGTTGCTGTCTGCACCGGCGCGCTGCAGGAGGCCAGGAACACGCTGCTCATCAAACGCGCAACGCAGCTCAGCTCCGCGGTTCTTCCCACGCGGGAGATCAGGGCGCGCGTCGTTCTCTTAGCGATGAAGCGCGCAGGCCAGTTCTGCGCGCGCCGAATAGCGACGGCCCCTTCAAGCGCGAGGTGGAGACAGGATGCGGCGCGCGCGGCGCCACTTGCGTGCGTCTGGGCAAGTGCCGCAGTATGGATAAGCAGATATGCCACTTGCTCGGCGCTGTGAGCTGGCCGCGCAATCTTGCATGCCGATCGACATTCGGCCAGGAGCTGTTCGCAGCATGTGGAACCCCAGATGGCCCACGGGCGCACTTCCTGGCACCTCGCGAGACGGTGCGCGGACCCGCCTCAGCAAAGGAGACCAGATGGCTGAGGGGGGAGGGAGGCTACGCTACATTGGCCGAGCTTGTCGTGGACGGCATGTCCGTCTGCTCCGCCTTAGCCATCGATCACGCGCGGCCGCCATCAGATAATAATGCGGCAGGCCACCTATGGTCGCCGCAGACCAGCTGCGGCCCAAGCAGGTTTCCGACATTCTTTGGCGCGACACCCGCGACATGAGGGCCGACCGACGCGTGCATCGCGGCTTTGCGTCCGCGAATGCGACGCGCTCCGTCAGGGAGAGAGAAAGACGCAGTGGCCCGCGCATCGTGCACAATGCATTCGAGTGTAATACGTCCAACGAGAGTGCCAGGAGAGCGAAGTTATGAGTGAGAGGGCCGTCGCCATCAACTGTGCTGGTGTGGCGGCAATATTCCGGCAGTTGAGCATGCGTTTCAGCCCTAGCGCGCCCCCGAAGCGCGATTTGCCGCCTCAGGATTGTTTACGAAGGGCCTGGTCAGTAGACGGCCTCATCGCATGCGCGCTCGCGCGTTTCATGGGGGGCCCGGTTTGTGGAGTTTTCTATCGCCCGTGCTATAGAAGAGGGTGGTCAGTATAACCCCTTGCAGAGCAATTATCTTGCCTAGCTCTGTAAATTGTCTCTTTTCTTGTATTGTAAAACCTGGCCAGTGGAAGGTTTTTTCAGCCTGGCACGGTTTTGCTTCGCTGACTTGGGTGCGGCTTGCACGCTTTAACCTGCGAGGCACACCAGTTTCGCTTGAGCACCCCACTCGAACGGGACCTTCTCAGATGTGCCCGAAGTACTTCACCACAAACAGTCAGGTAGGTTGGGACGATTTGAGAATCCCGACCGAAGTCTCAAACCGCACGAAGGCACCCGACTGTCGATCCAGCCAGGCCAGGAACCGTCGGCCCAACCAGCCTGGGGAAAAGGGGTTCGGCGGCAGATCGCGGACGATGGGCGCAGCGTCGGGCGCCCGAAAGCGAGTGTAACGGGCCCCGCAGACGCTGACGAGGGTCCGCGCCCGGGAGTGTCAACCTCGCCTCGGGCGTCGGATTCGGGGACGGATTTGGGTGTGGACCCGATGTTTATTGGAGGGGTTTTGTGCGAATTCGATGGGTTTTAGACGGGTCCGAGCACTGCGAAAATAACGCGTCTGGCGCGGATCTTGTTGGACCAATGTACCCTTTTTATATGATTATCATTTCAAAGGCAGCGAAGGATTCCGAGAACAAATTCCGCAGGGACACGGAGCAGGCGCGACAGGGGGGGAAGGCGCCTTCTAGATGTTTGTCATCAGGCGTTTCATTTAGAATGTTATTCAGGCGGCTCCCCCAGAACTTTCCTCTGGCGGTTTCTTCTAGAAACTTAGTGACCTGCCCCTCTTTGTTCTGACGGTTTGGCCGTCGCGCGTTTTAGTCCCCGGACTTCGTCGGCGCCGGTGTCGTCGTCGTCGTCGCCGGCACCACCTTGAGGTTTAAACCCCGGTCATGCGCTGATTCAGTCACGCTTCCAGTCCGGGCAAATTCAGTCACGCTTCCAGTCCAGGCGAATCGTGCCATTTTTACCCGACTGTCTGTGAGTGGGGCAGTCGCCTTCGCTCAATTGTCTCCCTGCCCGCTGCTGTTTTTCGCCCTGGGGTACGGAAGCTGGCCAGCTTCCGTGCCCGTGCGATCCGTGTGTTATTCAAAGCCGCGTAATTCTTCGCATTTTAACAGGGCGCCTTTGCACCCCACATCTTCATTTCCAGTGGCCCCCGCCCACCTCTCAACCTCTCCCCGCTGCCTCGGGGAGCGCGTGTTCATGTCTCTGACCAGTATGTCTCACTCCTCTCCCTTGCTCGGTCCTCAGGCCTCCCATGTGTGCGGCCCTCCTTCTCCTTCGCTGTTGGAGGATCCGACGCTCCCGGTGCACGGGGCGGCGCTGAGAAGAACACGACGAAACTCCCCCGCACGCTGCCCACCTTCATGACGACGCCGCTCGCCCTGTGCAGCCCCAGTCGGCGGGCATTGCTTCGTCCCTTGCGACCCCTCCCTCCCCGACGATCGCGGGCGCACGCTGACTCGCACGCGCGCGCACGCGCGGACCAGCCCTGGGCAGAAGGTGTCGGTGGGCGTGGCGACGCCACGACTTCGGGCCCCGTTGGCGGTGAGCTCAAGCGGCGTGTAGTTCACGGAGGGCGGCCACCTGGCCGCTGCACACCTCTGTTTCGACGACGACAAGGCATCCAAGTACCCAGGAGGAGGAGGAGGAGGAGGAGGAGGAGGAGGAGGAGGAGGAGGAGGAGGAGAGGGAGGATGAGGAGGGAGAGGGAGAGGGAGGAGGAGGCGGAGGAGGAGGAGGAGGAGGACCCAGGAAGCAACGGAACTCGCGCGCGCGGAGCTCGCCGCGCGCGCGAGTTCCGCCTCTGCGATCTCCGCGCGCGCGAGTGCCGCCCAGGGGAGCAATGTCGCGTCCCCGTTCTGTCCGTGCTCAGAGCGTTAATTACCTACCCCGTTTTCGCTTCCAGGCAAAACCAAGTCATACCATGCGCCTCCTCGTCAAGCGGCCTGATCAGTACAGGCCGTGGTTTGGCATCGCTTGGTATCGCTTGGAAGCGAGGGTGGTCAAAAGCGAGGTAGGTTTGTTTGCCCCCTACGTGCGGTCTCCGCTCGTGCGGGTGCTGGGCTTTTCGTGGATCTCCCAGCGGGCCAGCTGGAAGTCGATGGGGGCCCGGACCTGGAGAGGCATGGACGAATTTCCCAGCCGAGCGTATTCACGCCCTCGGTGTATCTCGTCGTCCCGTCGCCCCCCAGGTCTTCGGGCACCATGCGCGTGCCAATTGGCTGGACCCGGCGGGGTTCTGGCCGCCATGGCCCAGGATGACACCGGACCTTCTTCCGACGACGACATTATCATTTTTTTTTTCCTCGTATTCCTACCTTTCTTGACCTTTCTTGGCTACTCATACTTATCCTGTTTTCCTTTGTCGGTCCTCTCTCTCTCTTTGCTTTCCCCCAGGCTCCCTTCTCTCCCCCTCACTCCTTTTCCTTCCGCTTTGCTCCTCCTTCACTTTTTTCCAGCCGCACTACTCCACTTCTTTTCGTCCACCAGGAGCGAAAGAAGGACGTCCACGTACATGATCTACGTTGGTTTCGAGAGCACGCATTGCGCGAACGTTCGTATCACGCGGCCCGTCTCGCGGATTGGGGGGCCATGTTCATATACGTGGTTTGGCGCGTACGTCTTCTGTGGGGTCTCGAACCCCCCCTCCCCCCTCCATCTTCCGCTCCTATTCTTCGTAGAGCTTTCCTGCTCGCTCGCCTCTCCCGTCG